GCTGAGCTGAGCTGAGCTGGGCTGAGCTGGGCTGGGCTTAGCTGAGCTGGACTGAGCTGAGCTGGACTGAGCTGGGTTGGGCTGAACTGAGCTGGACTGAGCTGAGCTGGGCTGAGCTGGGCTGAGCTGAGCTGCACTGGAGGCACATGCCTGTGCTTGTCCTTGCAGCATGCTGCCTTGCAGCATCTTCTGATGGTGGACACGTGCTGAAAACCTTCAGCTCATGCAGGTTTTTGTGCAATCCAGAGCTGTTATCTTGGTGCTGGGGGGGAGCTCAAACCAGCTGCCAGGTGATGGGATAACCCTGGCACAGGAGAGGGTGCAGAAAAGAGGAGGGTGAAGAAATGACAAGTTTGACTTGCTCGTGGCAGGGCACGGGGGAGAAAACCAGTCCCGAGCGATTCTTCAGCGTGACCCGGGTGTGCATGGCAGCGTGCAAGGAACCCCCGTGTGCCGCCCACGTCGCTCGTTGTGCTCTGCTGCGCATGTGTGCGGTGGGCTGGGGGGGCTGCACTGCAGCACAGGGTGGGGGCAGTTCCATGGAACTGGGAACAGCTCGCTGCAGGCCTGCTGGAGCCTTTGCCTGTGTCCCCACGTGGGGAGTGCCGTGGCTGGAGCTGAATCCCTCCGCAGGTCCCCACAGTGGCTGCCGCACGAGCTGTTCCAGCTCAGTATCTCCTGGGGGTCAGACGTGGCCACGAGCTGGGAGATCCCCGAGTGTGGAGTGTGAGGAGTGAGATGCAGGAGGAGAGCTCATGCTGTCCCACCCACATTCCCAGTGGGGCCGTGCCCGTGCTGCCGTGGGCTGGGCTGATGCCCGGTGTGTGGGGGTGCGGCCGTGCCTGCAGCCCTGTGCTGATGGCCTCTGGATGGGTGTCTTCAGGAGCATGGGCTGGAGTTCCAGGGACAGCTTCTTCACTGGAGGGCAAGGAGACCACCTGCAAGACCTACTTGGGCTAAACTTCCCACCCGAGGGGCCCTTCTCCTTGGGACAGCGTTTGTGCCAGGCGGATCGTTTGTTCGAGGCACAGCTCCTTGCCCTGGCCGTGCGGGCCTGACTCACCTGGGAGATGAGGATGCTGTGAGGAAGTCCCAGATAAGATTCCAGCTGCAGGGCGTGAGACAGCCTGGACGTGGTTCTTCCTGCAGAAAGTGGACATGCACTGAAGCCTCGGGCGCCGTTGTACTGGACACGCTGCGGGGCGCAGCGAGAGGGATCCTTCTGTGCCGGCGCCTTGGCAGTGCCTCTCTGGCCATTGGCCTCTTGAGTCCTTCCTCTGCTCCTTACCTTCCTCAGGAATAAACACCTCACAGACAAACCCAACTTCTGTCTAGTCGTGTCTTTTGTTTGCCTCTTCCTTCTGTTCCCCCCAGAACTTGCTCTGCCCCGGCGTTCACTGGTGAGTGGGGTGCTGGCACGCGGTGGGTGCTGGTGCTGGGGCTGCCTCCCCCTGCTTGGGCTGTCTGGCACGCACCCCACGTCCCCTGCACTGCCCTGAACCCCCCTCAGCTGCTGCTCCTCTCTCCTGCAGGAGCGGCTGCAAGGTGAAGCAGCACGAGGCGCAGCCCCTGGCCCTGGACGTCGGCGCTCAGGTACGCGGGCTCTCGTCCCTGGGGCTGCGGCTGGCGCTGGGGTGATGCTGGGGAGAGCTGGGCTGGCAGAGCTTCAGGCCGGCTGGGAGCAGCTCGCCTCTGGATTTTAAGCCTTCCATGCTTTCCAGCAGCTCACCTGGTGGCCTGATCCCCGCAGGTCTTGCTTAACTGCGTGCTTTGACCCTGCAGGATGAAGGAGTGTTGATCTCAGAAATCCCAGCTATTACAAACCGGGATGGACATGCCACTGATGAGGAGAAGTTGGCCTCCACCACCTCCACACAGAAACCAGCGGGGTTGGAGAAGAAGGCCGAGGCAGAAGATGACCTGGAGTACTTTGAGTGCTCCAACGTCCCCGTGTCCGCAGGAAAGCACAGACCAGAGGCAGGTGAGGAACATCCCGCTTGCCTTCAGCTCTGGGAATGCGCCGTGGCTGCACCCAGGGAGTTTCTGCAGCCTCTGGCAAGGAATTGGTGCTGCAGACTCATCAGGGTTTATATATACTGACAGGGCTAAAGGCTGCTGCAGGTTCTGATGGAACCTCCCATTGCTTTCCTGCACTGTTTCCAGTATGGAAAACAGTGGTCAGGCTGTGTTTATGTAGACTTTGGGTACAGAGCACTCTCCCCACGATGCTGCAGTGGGATTTGGATCAGGCAGGAGGTTCCCTCCCTGCGGTGCTCCCTGCCAGTGCCCCCCTGACACCAGTGCTCACTGCTGAGCGGAGCAATTGTCCGGCATTCAGAGCATCCTACCCTGCCTCCTGGGCTGCAGGGTCCCTGCTTAGAGCCTGTGCCTGGAGCAGAGCTGCCAGGACTTGGCAAAGGGCTGTGGCTGATGGAGATCTCAATAATGCCTACACAGACCCCAATTATTGCTCCTGGTGGAATTCTGCTGTCTGTTTCCCATGTAATTAGCCTCTCTGACCAAGCCATTACAAAATAATTAAAAGCCAGGCAACATGACATTTAATCAATAGCCAAGTCCTAGGTGCAAGCAGGAGAAATCACCACGGGAGTTTGCAGCCTCCCCTCTGCAGGAAGCCATTAATCATTTCTCCCGATGGCTGTGCTGGGTTGCCAGCCCCATGGAGAATGGTCCTTTGTCCTCAGGGGAGGAAAATCTGACAGTCAGGGGAGAGGCTGGAGGGTTTATTTATTGCTGCTGGTCTCCGAGGGCCGGGCAGGTGCACGGGCTCGGTGCTCTCTGCAGCGATGGGGTGGGAGCGGTGGGTGCAGCTGCTGGCACCAGGATAAACAGAGGGAAGCAGTGGCAAGTCTGCAGTGTTACATTGCCTCCTTCCTCTCCAAGCTGAGCTCTAAACACACTGCTCTCTGCCTGGTTAACACATGAATCGTGTCTGTGTGAGTGTGAGCCATTAATTACCCTTTGCTACGTGAGGCAGCACTGTGCCCCCAGCTCGGGGTGTCCCTCCTGAGAGGCAGGGTGTCCCTTCTGAGAGGCAGGGTGTCCCCCAGCTCGGGGTGTCCCTCCTGAGAGGCAGGGTGTCCCCCAGCTCGGGGTGTCCCTCCTGAGAGGCAGGGTGTCCCCCAGATCAGCATGTCCCATGCCTTGCAGATGGGGGAGATGTTGTTTACCATGTGGCAGGTCCTTTGGAGGGTGAGGGACCTGGCTGGCATGGGCTGTGCTGGTGCTCTGGGGTGGTCTGAGCAGCTGGTCTGTTCCAGCACCCTGCTGAAGTGCAGAATGTCCTGTGCCTCTTCCTCCCCCTCAGCCTCAGTGGTCTCAGGCACGGGTGGCAGCCCTGGGGACATGGGCACAGGCTGGACTGCCACCAGATGGGAGTGTTGGTTTCCACTGCAGGAGTGCTGGAAGGCTGGCAGGGTGCACATTGTGGCACCTGGGGACAGGGTTTAATGCTGACCTTGGCAGTGCTGGGGACTCCATGGTCTTGGAGGGCTTTTCCAGTCAGAATGATTCCAGCAAGGGCAAGAGCTGCAGGCAAAGATGCCTTTGGGAGGGGAAGCTCAGGGGATGGGGAGACTCAGAGGTACCCTCCTATGTCTCAGGAAATCTGCGTGTGCCCAGGGTGCTGTTTCCAAATCAATTAAAGGTTGTGTTTCATTGTCTTTAGGTTTTGAAAAGGAGATCTGCAAGCAGATGGAAAAGGGAGGGCCTGGCATCTTCCCTGTGAGTGCCTCTCGCTTTTTCCTTTCTGAAATGAGTTTCTTTGGGAGGTAAAATTCTTGACAAGCCCACGCAGGGACTTGATAAAAATAGCAGAGATTTCCCAGCAGGCCTGGAGGAGCCTGGCAGAGATGAGATGATCCCTCCTGGGTGGGCGCTGTGCTGTGGGAGGCAGGGGGGTGCTGGGCACAGGGCAGGAGCTCTGCGGAGCCAGGGCTGCTGTGCTGGAAGGTGCCAGAAGGGCAGGGAGGGCAGAGGAGAGGGAAGGGGACAGCTGCCAGCACGGGTTGTGTCTCACGAGGGGCGTCCAGGGCTGGCTCTGGGGGCCCCTTGGTGCTGGTGCCTTCTGCAGGGGACCCTCAGCCCTCAGGAAGGCAACTGTCAGCAGAGGTGGGGGAAGAGTACAAAAGCCCTGCTCTGCAGCCACGCTGACCCTGGCAGCCAGCAGCACTGTGCTGGACACCCCTGACAAGCCCCGAGGAGCCCCAGAACCCCTGTGCTGCAGGGGCACCCTGTGCCAGCCTGGCAGCCCCTGGCCAAAGCGGCTCGGGTCACTGAGCAGAGGACAGTGGATTAGCACCATCAGCAAAACCGACCTCTCTGAGGCAGATTTAACTGTGCTGAGCCCCACAAGGACGTGGGGCAAAGCGAGCCTGGGCAGGCTCTGGTCCTGGGGGCAGGCTGCTGGCACCCCGAGGTACCTGCAGCTACCTGCTCAGGTGCACCCCTGCTGCTGGGAGATGCTGCGGGAGGCTGCCGAAAGCACACCGGGCTGAACCCCCTCGTGGCCCCAAACCTGCCCCGGGGGTGGCTCCCACCTGCAGCCACGGCCACAGCAGAGCTGTGAGAGCTCTGAAGGGCTCGGGGAGCTTGAGCTGAGCAGCTGAAGTGCCGGGGGGAGGAGAGGGGTGGGGAGAAGTGCTCCAGTGCTCTTGTTTCAAACCGTGAGGAGCAGGCTGCCTTCTGCCTCCCAGCACTTCTCTATTTATGGCAGTTCTCAGGGAGATGCTGCATGGCTGTCACTCGTCTGGCTGCTGAAAGGAGGGGCAGGCAGTGCCAGCACCTGAGGCTCAGCCTTGCCCCCAGTTTGTCCCTGTAGCACAGGTGGGGCACAGGAGCTGGGCTTTGGGAAAGGAAGGCAGTGAACAATGGGGAACAACAAGCCAGTCCTTGTAGAGGCACCCAAAATGGCAACAGCAGGGTACCAGGATCTCTGTGTGAGCATCTCTTGTTTCAGAGCTCTCCTGGACACCTGGAGCAGCAGCGATGAGTAGGGCTGTCCCTTGGAGCCCTGCTCTGCAGAGGGGTGAAGTCTGCTTCCCCCACAGCTTCCTTGGACATTTGGGTGAACATTTGGCCCTGGAAATGTCCCTGCAGCTGCCAGCAGCCATTCGAGCACGTCAGCTGCAGTGCTGTCCTCACCAGACTGGGAGGGGCTGGAGACAACCCAGACCCTTGCAGACCCCCCCCGGCCTGTGGCTCACAGCCAGCAGAGACCCTCCAAGCTGGGGATATTTTTAAACCAGCCACGGGATAAGGGAAGTTGGATGTGAGCACATCTGTGTGTGCAGAAAGGGAAATGCAGTATGTGAGCCAATGCTGATAAAATGGGAGGTGGGTGAAAAGAACCCCCCAACATCCCAGCTGGGTAATTCCCCCAGGACAATCCCGGGCTGTGCTCCATGGACAAGTGCCCCAGCAAGAGCAGGAGCGAGAGTCCCCTGGCTGGCATCTGCCTCAGCGAGTGTGAGAAGGCAGCCGTGCTCACACTCATCAGAGAGGAGGTAACAGCCCTGTCCCTGTCCCCTGGGGTGTCCCTTGGAGGTGACAGCCCTGTCCCCTGGGGCATCCCTTGGAGGTGACAGCCCTGTCCCTGTCCCCTGGGGTGTCCCTCAGATGTGACAGTCCTGTCCCTGTCCCCTGGGGTGTCCCTCGGAGGTGACAGCCCTGTCCCTGTCCCCTGGGGTGTCCCTCTCCGGACCTCACCACAGGGCAGCAGGGGCAGCTCTGCTCGGCGTGGGAGGGGGGATCTGATCCTCTGCGTGGGACAGAGAGGGGAAGCCCCTCAGAGCACATCTCAGGGGTCCTGTGTCTGATTATCCCCAGATAATCACCAAGGAGATCGAGGCCAACGAGTGGAAGAAGAAGTACGAGGAGAGCCGGCAAGAAGTGCTGGAGATGAGGTACAAGCTGTGCCCTTGCAGGGCTCTGCTCGGGCAGGAGGCTGAGTGGGACGTGAGGGGTGACCCAGGCAGCCTCTCCAGGCTGGGGTGTCTTGGCAGAGACTTCTCCTAGTGCTGGTGCTGTGTCAATGTTCTCTTGGTGTCAGCTGCGTCCTGCTTGTTCCTTTGCTGCAGAAACAGTCCTGTGAGCTGTGCCAGCCCCAGTGGCACAGGCAGGTTCTGGTCTGAAGCAGCGCTGGTGGGTGGTGCAGCTCCAACATCTGTGGTGCAGCCCCAACCTCTGGGCCCTGTGACCGTGCTCCTGTGGGGCTGCAGTGGTGACAGGGCATGGGCCAGCGGGGCTCCTGTGGGGCAGCCTGCTGCCAGCACAGCTGGAGGTGCCCGTTCCCAAAATCATTTGCCTCTCACCTCTTTGTTTTTTCTCTTCCTTCCAGGAAAATCGTGGCTGAGTATGAAAAGACCATTGCCCAGATGATAGGTAAGGTGCTGTCACCTGCCAGGTGTGCAGGGCAGGGAGCTGGCTGCCACAGCTGTCCCCACTCAATCGCTGTGTTCTTGTTGTTTGTTCTTCATCCCAGAGGATGAGCAGAGGACAAACATGACATCTCAGAAGAACCTGCAGCAGCTCACAATGGAAAAGGACCAGGCTCTGGCAGACCTGAACTCGGTGGAGAGGTCCCTGTCAGATCTGTTCAGGAGATATGAAAACCTGAAGGGCGTCCTGGAAGGATTTAAGAAGGTCCTTACCTTGGTTTGCCCTTTCTCCCTGCAGCTCTGGTCCCTGGACATAGGGTTCCTGGGCAGTCACACCCCACGTTTCTGTGCTGCTGAGCTGGATAAGGAGCTCCAGCATAAAGCAGACGTTGGGTTTTTTTGAAACCTTTTTTCTTACACTCAGAACAGTATCTATCATCCTGTCAGAGCAATGTCTTTGTGCCCAGTCCCAGTGCAGATGGATGTACTTTCTTTTCCAGAATGAAGAAGCTCTGAAGAAATGTGCTCAAGATTATCTAACCCGTGTCAAACAGGAAGAGCAGCGGTATCAGGCCCTGAAAATCCACGCAGAAGAAAAATTGGACAAGTAAGGTTATGCATGAGATTGCTGGATGCTTCAAGACCTTGTAGGGAAGCAGCTTCATTTGCTTTCCAGAGGCTGGAAGGCAGGAGCTGAATGATGTGAAAAGCTGCATTTTACAACCTCGGGCTCAAGAGTCTCTAAGCAAGGCAGAGCAAATCCCTGAATGCATTCTCTGATCTCTGCCTATTTATTTTTTAATGGAGAATCTGAGGTTTGCAGTCTATTTATGGTCACTTACCAAGTTCCCATCTTGCCGAGTGCTCGTGTTTGTGGTACACGAAGGGGCTGTGCGGCCCTGGGGCTCAGCTGATGAGCAGGAGCTCACCAGCACGTGTAGCCCCGAGTGAAGTGGGTGATGAGTGGCTTTAGCTTGGCCCTGAAAGAGCAGAGTTTGGTGCAGGGGCTCGAGGAGCTAAATGAACCCAGTCTCATCCAGTTTCCATAGGGGCAACTGTTGTATCCAGGCGAGCAGGGCCGGGCTCTGCGGCGCTGCCCGTGCTGTGGTGCTCCTGCCTGCCCCTGAGCTGGCCACTGGCCCCTCTGTCCCCAGAGCCAACGAGGAGATCGCCCAGGTGCGCACCAAGGCCAAGGCGGAGAGCGCGGCGCTGCACGCGGGGCTGCGCAAGGAGCAGATGAAGGTGGAGTCCCTGGAGAGAACCCTGCAGCAGAAGGTAACAACCTGCCCCAGCCTCTCTGCAGCCCTGCCAGCAGTTCCTGTTGGTGCCCTGAGCATCCTTTTCATGTTGGAGGTGTCCTCTAGATTTTTGGTCCAGAAGGTGTTTTGTGGGTTTGGGTTTTGGGGTGGTTTTTTTGTTTGCTTGGGATTTTTTTTTTGTGTGTGTGTTTTGTGGGGTTGGTTTGGATTTTTTGGGCAGAATGGGCATTGCTAGCTTACGTGTGCCTGTTTGCAGAGGTGTGGGCTGGGGCTGGCTTGCTGCAGGTCTCTGCAGCACCGAGGTCGGGCTGGGGTGAGGAGGGGTGAGCACAGGGCTCCACGCAGTGCCTGGGTGCACAGAGGAGCTATTGCAGGGAGCTGGCTGCCCTTTCCCACGCATGCTTGATGGCAGATGGGCCCTGATGTTATTCCCCACCTGTGCCACCACAGGGCTTCCCAAGATCTGCTTTTCTTCCAGAACCAGGAGATTGAGGAGCTGACCAAGATCTGTGACGAGCTGATAGCGAAACTGGGAAAGTCAGACTGAGCCTCAGCACCCCTCGCCCAGCACTCTGCACTTGGCTGCTTTTCTCGTGCCGTTGATCACCTTGCCTTACCCTGGAGTCCCCGCAGAAAAGCTCACGTGTCCAGCTGCCCCTTGGCTGCCGGACCTGTGGCTCCTGAGCAGAGCCGCTCCCCTCACTGTCCCTGCCTGCTTCCCACAGCTCCGGGGCTGGGATCCCTGCGAACCCTGTGGTCAGCCCTGGCCCGTGTGTCCCTCCCAGGACCTGCAGCCCTGTCCCTCTGCACCAGTGCCACCTCTTGTGTGGGAGGTGGCACACCTGGCTCTGTCCCCTTGGTTGGGCTGGGTCTAGTTGTGTCCCCACTGCACTCTGTCACTGATTGTCCTCATGTGCTCAGCAGAACAGGTCCAGCCACGTGGCACGTCCTGCCCTGGGACGTGGGTGATGGCAGGGCTGGACCTGCTGGCTCTTGCGCTGGGGAGGGGCACCTGGCACGGGGATGGCTGGTCTCTGGTTCGTGGTGAAGCACAGCACAGCCTCTCCCTGTCCCTGGCTGTGCCATCTCTGCATTCGTGCACTTTATGAGCATTTATGGGCACTTGGGCTCTCTGCTCACTCTTTCCAGTCAGGCGCGACACGAGGCACGACGTGTTCCCCCCAGAGCACTGAACAGTCACATAACCTGCAGTAACTTCAGTCCTCTCAAGGCAGAGTCTGGGTGAGGGGAGGCAGGATGATTCTGCACCCAGAGGTGTTTGAGAAGCAGGGGAGATGTTGGTTCTGGAGAGCTGGGAGTGCCATCCATCCTCCCCGTGGCCACCCTGCCTGTGGCCCTGGCCCCTGCAGGCCCTGGTGTTGGACACTTGCAAAGCCAGGGCTGTGTCTGTTGTCTCCCTGTGCCACGGTGAGATCTGGGCTCCATTTCAGAGGCTGCAGGAGGAAGGAAGTGAATCCTGAGCTTCCTTGTGGGTACTGCAGTAGCTGCAGTGGTGGAGGATTCTCTGCCTTGAATGGATAGGTGTGAAATAAGGGAAATATTTGAAGTTTGGACTGTTTCCTGCCCAGCCTGTTGAACACTTTCACAAACCTTTTTGCTGCTACCTTTTTGTAACAGAATTGAGCTCTTTTCCTTCTATTTTCTAATTCCCTGTGTTGAGCATGCAGAGCAAACACCTGTTTAAGCCAGAGCCATACACTTGATTATATTTTATTAGTTATATAATATATAGAGAATTTATTCTACACTTAAGCAAAGGTGTCAGCAGCCTGCCCCAGCGCACAGCTTCCCAGCCTGTTCTCCACACCCCCAGTTATCCCAGTGACAGACTGGTCACAGAAGCCAGTGGCTGACACCACTCAAAGCAGTGCACCTGTTGCTTGTGCTGGATATTCACCCTTTGCACAGAAAAGAAAAACCCTTCTCCCCCTTTCTTTTTAACTCCCTTGACCTCCCCACACGTCCCCTCCTGGGCTGGTGAAAAAGCTTCAATGATACAATCGACGAGGACTATTTCTGCTCCCCTTTGGGAGTCTGTGCAGGTAAAGCAAACCCCTGAGACCCCGAGATTTCTGGGGCAGTTGGCTTGTTCTCTGAGGAAGCAGTGCAGCATTGCATAACCTCTCAGGGCTGGTGCCGGGCTGCTTCAGGGCAGGTTTCTGGCTGGGCCCTGGGGCACTGTCCTGCCGTGAGGCTGCTGGAGCCCAGGTGCAGCAGCAGCTCCCAGGTGGGCACTGTGGCAGCCCTCGGCCGTCTGCTTTGCTCAGGCCATGGTGCTCGGTGCTGTCCTGGCTCAAGGCAGGCTGAGGTCAGTCTCTCCCTGGGGCGTGGCTCTGGCCCTTGGAGCTGATGGATAATTGCAGAGGTTTTGATTTCACCCCTTGCCACTTCCCTGAGCCCTGACCTGCACACAGCAGTCACTGCTGTGGCTGTCCCCCGTGGGCTGTCTGCAGAGCACGGCTGCACCGTGATGAGCCCCGGGACACAGTCCTCCACCCCTGTCCCTGCCCCCGGTGCCCCCCGGTCCTGCCGTGCTGCCCCCCTCACCCGGTGCCGTTGTGCTTCTGTGCCCGTCTGCGTGCACCCAGCCTGGGCAAAGAAGATTCCTACGGAATGATTTATTAACTATAATATGGTTATAGTTCCAGATCTATAAATACATGCATAGTGGGTATAGTTTTATAATAGAAGGCATGTTTGCCAGTGGGCAGGACGGTTGCACCTCGAGGTGATGGTGCTGGTGCCAAGGTGATGGTGTCGTTGTGACTGGCACAGGGAATGGCAGGTCCCTGTACATGGTGTCACAGCTGGCTGTGTTTGTTGTCTGTTCCTCGCAGTAGACTTTAAATGCCCTTTTGGCAGCAGCAGGCCCTGCCCCTGCTGCTGTGTTGCTGTTTGCAGTGTGTGTTTGCCAGCAGATCTGTCTGTAACCAAGTGCCAACCAGTAACCCCCAACTACTGATCCCTTCCCCTGTCCCTCCAGTGTGGCCTCCCCCAGGCAGGAGCTTCCTCTGCATTGGCTCCTACCCCTCTGCTTCCAGCCATGTGTGTAACTGCCATCGCCATCGGTTTTATATGTATGATAATTTCCCTTTTATATGTCAGGTAAATATTTGTAAGAGTTATACTCACACAAATGAGATTATTATAATGATTACTAATATATTTTTTCCATGTTTCATCGCCTGAGTAAAAACTGTGTTTATCACTCTGGAAAGCTTTCTTGGTGTTTGTGAGGTTGGTGAAGAGTTTTGGGAGGACTTGGCTTTACTTTGCAGAATGGGCTGTGTTCTGCCTGTCTTTATTAATGTGGTTTACATGGCAGTTGGTTTCAAATAAGTACAGTAATCATGTGTTCCTGAAATCTGCATTTCTGACCTCTGAAAGTCAGAGCTGGGATGACTTTTCTGGCCCTGTGGCTCCCAGCACACGGTGATGGTAGTGAGCCATGGCAGGGAGCTCAGACAGCAGGAAGAGCTGAGGCAAGCAGGATGGCAGGCAGGAGAATCCTTGGCCTAATCCCTGCACTGACCCTGACAACCCTCTGAGGCCTTGGGTAAATCCTGCTGGGAGGCTGGAGCCCTGAGGGCTGGGGGCTGCAGGAATGGTTCCACTGGGCTCCCAGCCCTGTAGGGGTTTTCTGTTGTTCTCTTGCACATCTCTTTTGGTGGGTTGGAAAATCTGAAGTGGTTTTCCCCAACTTGGCTGCTACTCATGATGAGAAAGGGACTTTTCTCTGGATGGAGCAGGTGGGCTTGATCAAAACCTTTGAAAGCCACCACGAGGTTCTGTGTCCAGAGACAGTTTCCAGAGCAGGATATGGAGCAGAGCTCGGCCCATCCACTGGCACCAGTGTGCTGCTCTGCCCCAGTGCCATTGCCCAGCCCGTGTCCTTGGGGAGCTGTGTCCTGTCCCCCAGCTAAGATGGCATTATCCCAGCCCCAGCACTCTCCCAAGCAGATTAGCTGTAAGACCTTAAGACAAAACAGCAGCTACGCACCCCACACTGCACACTGCTGAGGATGCCTGCCCTGAAGACCCTGCTGGCCCTGGCCATCGTCACGTCCCTGGCTGGAGAAAGTAAGTGTCCCCTGGCTCCAGGCAGCACAAGGTTGGGTAAATCGCTGTAGCTGCTCTTGCGCTTGCTGCTGCCCTGTCCCTGTCACCTGCCTCGGGCTGGTGTGTGCCCAGCGGGCCCCTGCCCCACGCTGCTCCCACCCCTGCAGGAAAATAACGTTTTGGGGAGGAGGGTGGCTTTCTCCTCTGACTAGCACCAAGAGAAGCCCCTGTCCCTTGCCTATCTGCCACTGGCACAAAGCCTAGGCATGCTGTGCCCAGCAGGGAGCACAGAGTCTCTGGTCTCCAGCTCTGATGGAGGCTCCTGAGCCAAGACCCTGCAGCTTCTCTTGGCTAGAGCTGTGTTTCCCTGTTAACTCGTGGTTCCTCCAAGGCATAATCACAAAAAGCCATTGTAAAAGGTAGGGGGGAAGCTGCACTGCTCAGAGCAATGCCATGGAATCGGGGCAGCTCTGGACACTTTCAGGAACTTTGGACCTAGGCAAGAAGAACACGACTGTATTTTTAGCTCAGGGCAGATGAAAGGCTGTCCCGTGCTGTGGGGAACAGCAAAGGAGACACGGCAGAGCCCAGCAGCGGAAGCCGGGCCATTGTGGGTTAATGGAAGGCGCTTACTGGCATCTGACCCCATGAAATCCCAATTTTCCCCATTCACGGGTTTTCTCTCCGAGATGAAGGTGGAAGCTCTGGGCCGAGCCGGCCCCGCTGCCACGAGAGGGCTCTGCTGTCAGCAAAGCAGAGACGAGTTCCACCTCCAGCACCAGCGCTGGTTTATCCGGCCCCATCAAAACCGAGGATTCGTCATTTCAGGCAGGAGCAGGATCTTCAGGTTTGGGTTTTTCTGGGGTGTGTGTATGCTTGGAGGGGTCACACAGCTCTTGCACCACTACCAGCTCTGACGCACAGGAGAGAGGGGCTGGCTGCTATCCAACCTGCCTGTGGACCTCCTTTAAGGACGATCCGGAGATGGCTCGTCCCTCCCGACTCACATCTGCCTGGCACTTTACTGCCTGTCACCCTGCTTGTCCCCAGGCCGCACCCTCGGGCTGAGCTTCCGAGTACAGTGCAGAATGTGGGAGCTGCTCCCACAGGTTGCATGGATTCTCCCTTCTCCCTCACAAAATATTTATTAAAATGAAATCTGGCACAAGAAAACAAAGATCTATGATGGTTTTAAAATATGATGTCTACCTATTTTTACTGTAAAAGGAATTCCAGGACTATCAGGGAGTCTTTGCAGGGCAAGGACTCGGCAGAGCTCATCTGCCAAGTTTAGCTCTCATCATTTTGAGTCACACTTGGAAGAGTTTTGCATTAATTTTGTGGACAGGTGAGGCTCAGTCCTGCATCCTGCTGCACGCCATGGCAGGCCTGGCTCACGGCTCGATTCTGTCTGGTGCCAGCCCTCACCCGTGACCTCCCTTGTCCCTGGGCCAGGGGCCACCGGTGTCTGTGGAGACCCACAGACTGTCGGGGCACTGGGGTCTCTGGGACAGTGCATTGCTGTCACTCCTCCTCCTCATCTTCACCCAGGCAAGGCTCTGAAATGCCACAGATGTGTCGCATCCAACGAGAACGACTGCAGCCAGCAGGGATCGCACAGCTGCCCCCAGTACGCCGACGCCTGCTCCACGATCACCGCGCCCAGTGAGTCCCTTGGCTGGAGGGCCTGGGGGCTCCAGGGGGAAGGGGGGTAGGACCGTAAGGTCTTGGAGGGGACCAGAGGGGCTGGGAGTCGGAGGGCGAGGAGAAGCAGGGAGCCTGAGGCAGAGCAGGCGGTAGCTTCTTGCGGGTAGGAGCGCAATCCTGCAATTCCGCACCCGTGCCGCACCGAGGTGTTCTTTATCCCGTGCCGGTGAAATCCGGGTTCCCGGGAGGGCCTGACCCGTGTCGCCTTGCCTTTCCTTGCAGACAGCGTCATTAAGTCCTGCTCCTACAAGTCCTTCTGTGACCAGGCGCGCCGCGGCGGCTCCGGCGGGGCCACCGTGCGCTGCTGCTTCACCGACGACTGCAACGGGCCGGCGCGGGGCTCCCGGAGCGGCGCGGCGGCCGCCGCGCCGCCGCTGCCCGGCCTGCTGGCCGCCGCGCTGGCCGGGACGCTGCTGCTGGGCCGGCCCTGAGCGCCCCGCGGCCCGGCGCGGCTGCTCGCTGCTCTAGCCTAGGGACGCGGGACGGCTCCCATCGCCGCCAGTCCAATAAACGCTGCCGCTGAGAACCGCGTTCGCAGCCTCTCCTTGGCAGGGAAACCAAAGCCGCGAGAGAACGCGCCGAATCGAACCGGTTCGGCTTCTGGTGCCGCCCCGGAGGGCTTCGCTGGGCAGAGCCTGGGATCCCAGCGCACCTTCCCTCCCCGCTGCTCCAACAGAGATGCTTTTGGGCTGCTTTCTGCAACCCGAGGCTCGCCTGTGGAGAGACGTTTCGGTGGCTGCTAAGACATGGGGGGGATGTGAGGCTGCTCTGTGGCCTGGGGCTGTAGGTGGTCCCACAACTCAAAGCTCTGCTAGAAGGACCCCCAGGAGTGGCCCGTGAGGCTTCCTTTCGTGAGGGAGAACGGTAAAAGTGAGTGAACGGTGAGGAGAACAGAAAGGGGAATGATGAAGGGAGCGAAGGATGGCTGGGACCATGAGAATTTGACTGCAGGAACTGTAGTGCAGGGGGAGCAGCAAACAGCAGCTGTCTGCTGGAGTCTGCCTCAGTCAGGACATGAGGAAAAGGGGAACAGGTACTGAAACTGAAAAAAAGCAAGTTTGAACAGAAGAAAATAAATAATTCAGCATGTGCGGATCCAGCCGTAGAACTCACAGCTGGAGGATGCTGCTGGAGCAGAGACCTCGGTGAGTGCTGGAGGGTGAGAGGGTCAGAAGTCCTGCAGAACATGGACATAGTCTTGTGAAGGTCAACGTGTGCCTAGAGGGGCGCTGGGCTGCTGCCGCTGGAGCGGAGCACGTGGATAGCAGATTATTCCGTGTCTGCTGTGCATCCTGCTATCCTGCCCTCCCCGGGGCACACAAAGGGTGTTCTGCGCGGGGCTCTGGCTGCTGGTGGAATCTCCAAAGGTCCTGGAGCAGAGACGTGCCCTGCCCCAGACTTCCCTCATGTTCCCTCATCTGCTGATGGGGTGTCCCAGTGAGTGCCAGGGTCTGCTTGCACCCCCCCACATGTTACAGCAGAAAAACGCATTGGAAAATCTGGGAGAGCTGCCAGGCTCCCGGAATGAAGGGAAAGCAGCGCTGTGAGTCGCTGCCGTGTGACCGTGCCCGGAACCCAGTTCTGCCCCGGGCTCCGACGGGTCACAAGGGCTGCGAGAGCTATGAAAATACTCCGTGGAACAGTTTAGTCTTTGCAAAGGGAGGGATGGGAAGAGAGGGAGGCAGCGATTGCGGGGCAGGGCTCGAGATCGCCGGGATGCCGGGAGCAGGCAGGCAGCAGTGGGAAGGAGCGGACCAGCGTGGGACGGACAGGGGCTGCGGGTGTCCGTGAGCAAGGTCCCCGCGTATCCTCGGCGGCGGCAGCACCACGATCGGTTTCACCCGCGCCGGGAGAAAGTGCGTCGGGGCCAGACGGAGTTTCGTAGAGAAAGTGCGGCTTCCCCGGGCCGGCACGGGGGAGGCAGCGGGTGTTTCCTGCTCCCAAATTCACCCCGAGCTCACTCCCAGCAGCAGCTTCCCCAAGAGATGCTATTGCACGAACGGCGCCCCGAAGTGGGCGGCTCATCTCCGTCAGTGCCAGCCTCAAACACCGACCGAGTGGTTTTGTGTCGGGTCTGGGGGAATTCACCGGGGGGGGCCCGAGCTCGGGGCACGCAGAGGACCCGCAACAGGCTGGCACTGGGAGCGCACCGGGCCGCCCCCACCCCTCCCCGCGGCGGCGGCCGGGGACCGCGGCAGGTGCGCGGCCGGACGGCGATGGGACGGAGGGACGGACACCGGCCCCCCGCCCCGCGGAGCCGCCCCGCGCCCCGCACTCACATCCGGGGCCGGGTTTGCTAATGACAGACGTAATTAACCCGGAAAGAAGCGGCGGCGGAGCCAGGGCACACCCCCTCCGCTGCCCGTCCGCCCTCCCAGCGCTGCCCGGCGTGCGCAGCGCCCGCAGCCCGGCCGGCCGCCCCCCGCCGCCCCGGCCATGCGCGGGGCGCGCAGCCCAGGGACGCCGCGGGGTAAGTGCCGCCGCGGGGACACGCGTGGCCGCCTGCAGGCAGCGCTCGCCCTCGAGAGACCCCGCGGGCCGGGCTGGGAGCCCTCGCTGTCCCGTCCCCGTCCCCCGGCCCCTGCCCCCGAGTCCCCGCGTTCCCGGGCTGCCGGAGCGGCTGGAGGCGTCCGTGCCCCGCGGCGCCGGGGGCCGCTGGGGAGGTGGTCCCGGGGCTGGTCCCCTCGTCCTTGGCGGAGGCTCCGGTTCCTGCAGCTGGATCATCCGCGCCGGGGCTGGAGTCGAGCCCTCCCGGTGCGAGCGGCTTCTGCTCGACGGCTCCTGCAGCGAAGCGTCAGGGGCAGGGGAGCGGGAGGCAGCGAGGGGGGCGGAGGGGTCCCCGTGGAGCTCCGGAAATGCTGCAGGCACCATCCTCGCCGAAAGTCTGGGGATGGAGGCAAGCGTGGGGCGGGGATCAGGGGTTTGCAGCTATTCTGTGTGTTCTCCGAGTCTCTGTGGCAGATGAAGAGCTGTATCCAGCCTCCTCCTCCCGACAGGCTGATAGTTTCATTAAGGCAAATATCTGCAATTAGTAGGAGAGAGTTGCTGGGCGCTGCCTACCCCGTCTGTCTCGTGGGTCGGGACAGACGTCGCGGGGTGAGCTCCGGGAGCTCCTCTGCAGCCGCAGGTGAGAGGAAGTGGAGCTGCAGCCGCTGCGGGCACTGGGCAGCGCAGGTCCCGCCCTGCTGGCATGGAGAGAGGGTCGTCCTGCACCGGCACGGCTCGGGTGGACAGGTGTGAGAGAGGAGGGCGTTGTGGCTGCCCACAGGTGCGATGGGTGCTCTGGAGGGAGGTGCCGAGGAGATGCCTCCCGGCAGCACAGCTGTGATGCTCCAAATGCCGGGTCTCCCATCGCCTCGCGTTTTCCTGCTGCAGAGTGCTCCTGGCTTGCTCCTGTGGCTGTAGCTCTGCCGGGGCCGAGGAGGGCACCCTGAGGTGCTTCCTGGAAAGTCTGGCTGTGTGGCTGCACACGAGGCCTCTGAGCCACCCCTGGCTGCAGCGGGGACCTGGGTGCTGCATGGACAGTGCCCTGCCCCTCCTGCCTCTCCCTGAGGAGCACTTCCCTTTTGCTCAGGCAGGCAAGGGGGTGGTTTTCTGTAAATGTTTTTCTGTAGCCCAATTGTTTGCCATGTCATTCACTGAGTCAGGAAAAGGGTGTCCTCTTGGGTGAGATATTGTGATTGAAACAGCTGGCAAGTTGGTTGCTTTACAGGTAGGAAAGAGTCCTGGAAATTTCTGATACACTTCACCAGGAAACTGAGCATTTTCTGGCCCTCCTGGATTTCCTGAGCAGGGTGCCCCACATGTCAGCACAGCTGGAGATGCTACTTTTATAATTTTCTTATGGAAAAGTGCAGTTCTTGGTGGTTCCAAAGACTGACCATTTGTGTTGTGTGGGCAGTGGGATGAGAGGGGACAGGAACCCAGCTGACTTGGTGCAGAGTGTGGGACAATCCCAATCTCCTCTCCCATCCCATCTCCAAGTGCAGCCTGAGGTCGGTGTGCACAGAAGGGCTGAGCTGGTTTGTGGTCTCCCAGATGAGCCCGTGGTAATGAAGGATGGTGGTGGGGGGACACAGGGACTGGGGGCTCATCTCTGTGCTGCCTGTGGCACCTTCTGCTCCTTCCTCATCTGTCGCCTTAGCAGAAATCTCTAACCTTTGCTGTGAGCAGAAAGAAGGGTTTATGAGGTTTGGTTTGAACGTGTTGGTTGAAGGTACCTAGGGATTGGCTTTCCATGTGCTTCCCCACCACAAAAATAACCCCACAAAAAAGCAGTGAGACTTGAAGTGCCCTCAGAAACCTTTGTGCCAAGGCGCTGTCGTTGGTCTAAAACAACCTCTCCCCCTGCAGCAGCACGGTCCCCATGAGCCAAGATACCATCTCTGAAATGGTGGTGATAGATTGAGATCCTGACTGCAGGTTGACTTGTTTTCTGCCCCCTCTACCTTTGCAGCTGCACCGCAGCTCTTGCACAACCCTCACCTCCCCGGGCCCCACTCCACTGCAGCTCAAAAATAGTATTTCCTCCTTTTCTGCATGAGTTCTTTTATTTGTGTAGCTCTGCTTCTGGCACCTGCGTGATCACCACTCTCCTGCCAGACAAACCACACTGGGTTCACTGACATCCTTTGGGTAACGGCTGCTCTCATCCCTGCCCTGCACCCTGTGCCGTGGGGAGACAGCTCTGCCCGGGCAGGGGACATGTCCTGCCCAGCCTTGGGGTGCTGGTTCTGCTCCCCACGCAGGCTGGAGGTGATGACAGCGTCCCCACTGCAGCCAGGGGCCCTGACGGAGACCTCCCGGCTGGGGGGCAGTGCTGGGGGGGGTCCGTGCCCTGGCAGACCTGGGGACACAGCGTGGCCCTGCTGTGATGGGTCATTGTTTTCCCTGCTGACTCGACATCCTGGCTGCACAGATTTTCTGCTGGAGTTGCAGATTGTTCCCCGTTTCCTGGGAGTGTGCTCAGGCTCCCTCTCGCATGCTGCTTTGGGATTTTTTTCGCCACAGTTCTCAGGGATCTGGTGTCTTGTGTCAGATCCTTTGTGGCTGCTCTGTCCTCCCTCATGGGGTTTGGTGGCTCTTGGGGCTGGGAGTGGTGGGTTGGTTGTTGTCCCTCCCATCTCCCTCTGGAGAGCTCAGCTGTGGCCGAGAGGCTGCGCTGCCATCCTGGAACACCTGGCTGGGACGGGGTGGGTGTGGGGGCAGTTCCCTGGGGCGCAGAGCACCCACCTCCCCCTCCTGCCCCCACCCCACAGGGTGATGCCAGAAGGAGCCCGGCATGCCGTACCTGGACCGACAGAACCGTATCTGCGGGTTCCTGGACATTGAAGAAAATGAGACCTGTGGCAAGTTTCTGCGGAGGTATTTCATCCTGGACACCCAGGCCAACCACCTCCTGTGGTACATGGACAATCCTCAGGTGGGCACGTGTGCCGGGTATGTCCGTAAAGTTGTCAGGGAGTCTGTGGGCACGTCCCAGCCTCCCTGGAGCAGGCATCTCCTCCGGGCCTCCCCAGGTCCCTGCCTGCTGTGTCAGTGTCCTGTGGCTGAGCGTGGTCATGACCAGGCTCCAGCCCTTCTGTGACCTCTGTGGTCTCCAGGACTGTCCCAAGGAGCAGAGCAGAGCTGGTCTCCCTGCTGAGGGGTCTGAGCTGGATCAGGTGCAGCACAGGGAAGTGGCTGAGGACAGCAGCTGCTGCCTGACCCCAAGGGCACAAACGACAGGCTGGATTGCCCTCGCCACCTTCTCCCTGTCATTTACCTCCCACTGCTCGTGCTGTGTGTTGCAGAACCTGGCCATTGGAGCAGGTGCTGTTGGATCTCTGCAGCTGACCTACATCTCCAAGGTAATGTTGGGGTGGGGCAGAGGGAAGGTGAGTGCTCCCTGCTTTCCCCTTATCCTTGTGGCATTCACAGGAAAGGCGATAGCTTGCCCTGGAAGCACCCAAGGCCAGCTCCTGGTCCTGCCTGGGCTCGTGGCCATCTCCCTGGGATGAAGCCTGAGTGGGGCTGTGGGAAGCAGGGAGGCACGCCGTAGCACAAAGATCCTGGTGCCCGGACCACCAGGATGGCCACCAGTTCATCTTCACCCGTGGAGTGGTGAGGGATGGGGTGAAATGCTAGGCTGCAGGAGGAAGAGGAACTGCTCTGCTGTGAGGAAGGACACGGGGTGGCCGGGACTGAGTAGGGACAGGAGCATGGTGTCATCATGAGCTGGGTACGGAGCTTGCAATCGGCTGGGCAGTGCTACGGGAGCTCTCCCCTGTGCTCAGAGGGCAGCACCCTGAAGGATGAGACCTTCTGGAAGCTCACTCGTGTGTCTCGAGGCTGTTATCCAATCTGCACGGGAAGGCAGGAACAACAAAAAGAGCAAAAGGCAACAACAGTTGCAGGGCTGGTGACTGAGACAGTGGAGCTGTGGCTGTGTGTGGAGAGTGGAGCTGCCTCCATCCTCCTCCTGCAAGCGGCCCCTCAGCTGCTGAGGGAGTGGGGGGCTTGTGGCTGCCACGCCAGGCACAGCTCAGCTTTATCCTGGAGCTGGATATAGCATTGGACAGATCTTCCTCTTCCTGCTGAATCATGATTTATAAATTAAGCGCAGATGAAGCAATGCTGGGAGGCTGAGCCTTCCCCATTTTGGAAAGAGCCACACAAATTACATAGGTTTTAGTTTAAATGAAAATTGCTGCAGGACAGCATTTGGTCACAAACTGCGGGGTTGGGTTCTGTCAGTGGCTGGAACTACCAACATTAAATATACCAGAAAAATGGAGGTTTGCTTGAGAAAACATATTTAAAGCATTATGGACTGGCTTTGAAGCAGGAGGACTGTCAGAATAAATACTCCACGAATGCTGTTTGTGGAGCCTCAAGGAATATTATCCTTATATAAATTATACCTACTCTTCAGGGAAAAACCACCACTATTTCCCTTCAATTCTCTTAATTGTTGATGAGAGTGACTGTGTTAATCCAGGAGAATGGATGTTTTCAGGTCCTTTGAAAGCTTTCCATCCTCTGCTGTGCAGCTCAGCCAGTGCCTGAGGGGCTGCAGGGGATGAAAGTCCTGACCTTCCCCTGGGACCCAGCACCCTGTGCTGCATGTGCTCAGACACGGGCCAGTTCCCTTCAGCTGGCACAGCTGTGCTGTAGCTCCAGCTGCCCTCATATGTGTGGGGTCCTGCTCAGGGGTCCTGTCCGGGGTGGCAGAGCCCAGACAGGGAGTAGGGTGGGTGGGTGGAAACTTCCAGCTCTTGTGCCCACCATTGGCATGTGCTGTTAGCTCTAATTTTTGCCCTGATTTGCTCTGTCGCAGGTTAGCATTGCCACCCCGAAACAGAAGCCTAAAACTCCATTCTGCTTTGGTGAGTTGAGTGGGATCTTGGTGGGCTGCGTGGGGGGACACCCTGCCAATAGGAAGCTGCAGTGTGGATGCCTGCCCCATGAATCCTTGTCCTTCCTCCTCTGGCAGTTATCAACGCTCTATCCCAGCGCTATTTCTTGCAAGCCAGTGACCAAAAGGACCTGCAGGACTGGGTGGAGGCACTGAACAGGGCCAGTAAGATCACGGTAGGTTACTTAATGCTGTTCTCAATTGTTCCCTTCACCATCCCCAGGGATCCTTATGGTTGAGGCTTACTTGTGTATCTTCCTTTGCCCTCCCAGCCCAGCTGTGGGGGACAGCAGCTGTGGCCCAGGAAGGTCCTGTGGGGAGCCATGCACATCCCCTCCTGCTCCAGGCCCTCCTCCCCCTATTGCTCCTGCTGGCTGGGATCTGGCCCAGCCAGCTCCTCACTGTGCTCTCAAAGGGTGGCTTTATTGTGCTTCAGTAACTTTTTTATTCCGTTTTTACTCTTCCTGGAGCACCGGCTCGGCGAATGCCCCGTGCTGTGGGGCACGGGGAGGCAGGCTGTGCCTCTGCCATCTCTGATGTGCTGGTGTGCTCACAGGCCGTGCGCTGATGGGCGCTGACCCGCGCCCGGGCTCTGCGCCGCGCAGCTGCCGGCGCTCCGGGCACCGCGGGATGTGCCACGCTCCCCCTGGGCAGCGCCGGGGCTGGGCTGGGAGCTCCAGGATGGCTCCTGCCCGCACAGGGGGTCCCTGGGAAGGGGCTGGGGGCTTCTGCTGAAGTGCAGTGAGCAGTGGGGCCAGTGCATAATGTGAGCAGAGTTTTACTAGGTCATGCACCGATGCGTGTTGTTTATGGTATGTAAACTAAATGTAAGGAAAAATAATGTGAACACTTTGATTGGGGCCTATCCATGAGTTTTTTCTTTAAAATCCCTGGAGTGCCATGGTGTAGTCTCTGTGGGAAACTCATCTTCCAGATCAGACCTAGCTTGTATTTTTTTACTCTGCAAATACAGTAAGTGTGACAACCTTTGCACCTGCAGCGGCCAGACTGCTCTGGCTCATGCCTTCTCTTTCTGGGTCCAGCTGATGCTGGCCACAGACTCCATCTCCAGAGCTGGCCAGAGCTGTGGCCAGAGCCTGCCTGGTCTCTGTCTGGGTGTGCTGTCAGCAGTTTCCTCCAGGGTCGCTGCCTCTGGGGCAGGGGGATTCTGCCAGGCTGGCAGAGGTGACAGGAGAATGAGATGCATCTTCTGCTTGTGCAAGAAGCCGTGGTGGTTTCCATGGCCTGATTTCGGCCAGCCCTTCCCGGCTCTGGCTGCGTCCCAGCTGGGCGACCGGCTCGTCCAGCCCTTCAGGGAGGAGCTGTCACAGGCTGCTGGGAAGCCCAGGGCTACTGGGATGTGGGTGATGCTGCCACTCTGCCCTGCTCTGTGGGGAAGGCAGCGGGGGGTTGGCATTAGGGGAGCTGAAGTGCAGGGTTGGGAAGGGAAACTTGGAAACTGCCCTTTCTGTCCAGAGCCAGGTGCCAGAGGGAAGGAGCTGGGAAGGGAGAAGGGAGGATGGCAGTGCTGGAAGCCGTGTTGCTGCAGCCCAGCCTCTGCCCAGGGGTCTGGGGCCACTCACGGGGGACACAGCCAGCACTGGGGTCGCAGCAGAGCCTGGCTGTCCCTGCGGCCACGTGGCTCAGCCTCGTTAGCCAGACCCAGCTCCTCATTAAGCTTGACTGTAAGTGGAGCGGGGACAATTAAAGGAGCAAGTGTCCCACAAACTCACTGAGCTGCAGAGGCAGATCACAGGCGCCTGTGAAGGGATGCTTAATCACTGAGCTCCTCTCATCTCTACTCTGGGTGTCTCCTGCACCCAGGGTGTTCCACACCCTCCCTAGCTGGGGTGCTTGGCCAGTTGTTGTTTTCTAAAGGGATGTGGCTGCATTAGACAGAGATGAGGTGCCCAGTGCAGGTGTGGGGATGCCCAGCATGGTCACCCTGTTCCACTCATACCTTCCTTTCTCCCACAGGTGCCAAAGGGTGGCAGCGTCCCACCGGCCACGGAAGTCACCAAGGTGGTGTCCCAGGCCCAGGAGAGGAAGCCCCAGGTGGCCTACAAAACCGAGATTGTTGGGGGGGTAGTGGTCCACACACCCATCTCCATCAACCAGGTGAGGTGGTTTGCACTTTCATTTCTGGAAACAGTGTGCCTGCAAACCCTCTCCCCTGCAGGTATCAATGGCTGCTCTGAGCACCCTGAACACCTCTGCTTTTTCTCACTCGGAAGTACAATGAGATGAGGGGGTGTGAGGAGGAGGAGGTCATGGATCTGCTCGGCCTCCTGGCCATCACCATCCACCCATGTGACTTGAGTGCAAATCCTGCTTAGGTACCCGGGGCAGGGGAACCCTGTGTTGGGTGCCCCCAGCACAGCAGCCACAGGGACTGTCCCAGGGAGGTGGGCATCACTTGTCATGGTCTGCATCTCCTTCCCTGGCACGCAGCTGGGTGTGCACGTGGCCATCAGCATCTCCCATGTTTGGGCACTTGTCCAGCTCTGGGTCTCACTTCAGCTCTTATCAGTGGCAGCACTAAAAATAGAGTAGAGAATTAGATCATTGCAGCAGTTTCTGCTGGCAGATGCTTTTAACACTTCCCTGGCCACAGGGTTCAGCAGGATGCAGAGGTGCACGGAGGGTTGTGGGGTGCAGAGGGGTTTTTTGGAGGTGGTGCATCAGCTGCCAGAATATTTCCGTGCTCTTGCTGCTTCCCCCATGTGAAATGGCCATTCCCCTGCTGCAGCTTCCTGGGCGTGTCCGTGGTTTCCTGGCTGTGCCCCAGCCGGTGCTGCCCCAAGGCTGCAGTCCCACGCTCTGGCTGCACCGCAGACCGGCCGGGAGCATCACCCCGGCTCCTGGGCCTGTGAGCTCCCGGCTGCAGGAGTGTCCCCACCTCTGCTCGGACACCTCTGCTGCCACGCCTGGCAGAGCTGGCACAGCCCCGGGCCCGGGCGTGGCTGGCCCCCCCATCCCCGTGCTGCAGCTGTGCTGCATTGCTCTCCGAAGGGGCTGGGCAGCACTCTGAGGCCAGACAAAAAGCTGCTTGTCTGTCCTGGGGACACGGAAGCAGCAGTGGAAGGTGCTGGGCGGGCAGGCTCACCCAAACCGCAGTCCCCCGCTGCGGGGCCATATAAGGCTGGCAGTGGCCAGGGCCACCCCGCTGCCATGGCAATGCTCAAACCTCAGCCGGGCGGGAGGAAGGGCTCCGAGGGATGGGGAAGAAGCTGAGTGCAGAAGATGTTTCATCTCAACCATCCTCTGCTGCGGGGGCGAAGGGAGGGCACTGCTGGGATGGTGCTGGAGGCAGGTCAGGTCTGGCCCTTGGTGTGCACTGGGGTGTGCTCAGGGGAGCCAGGGGTGGGTGCTGGGCATGTGGTAATGACCACAGCCCCTTTGTGCTCACAGCACTGAGCACTGCATTGGGAGGGACAGTGTGGGCCCAGAGGAGGCACAGCTTCCCTTCCTGAACTCCGAACACCCCAAGTATCTTTGGGAGAAGTTGGCTCTGAAAATGAGAACCAGACACTTTATGGCCTTTCTGAGCAATTTATTCCTGTGGTATATTGCTTTCTCCCGTTGGAAAGCATTCCTTTCTAACTTGTGTTTGTCTGGTGGTTCTTGTTCTCCTTGTGCCTTCGGTGGTGCAGTCGAGTCACCTCTTTGTGCAAGACGAGCCAGGCGGGTGGGCTCTGTTAACTCCCCTGCTGCAGGGGATTATCTTCAGCCCTCAAATTGCTTTTCTGCAGCCCTTCTGATATCTTGCTTTTAACAGATGGCTGCAAAACAGTGAAAAGTACCAGGGCAGCAGCCCAGGAAGCTGCACACAAGGAGAGAACATCAGCTCTGGGCTCTGGCTCATTCCCTGCCCATGTTCAGCACTGCCATGAGCCCTTGGCTCACGCATTTCACTCGGAGCTTGTGTCAGGTGGCTTTTCTCTGCAGCTGGGGGTGCTGCTTTCCAGCAGGGATGCCTCCCTGCTGACGGGGCTGTGTTCTCTCTGCTGCAGGACGGGGAGGGCGGCGAGGCGGGTGGGCACCCTCTGCTGCGGCGCTCCCAGAGCTACATCCCCCCCTCGGCCACCAAGCCGCCCGCCGGGCCAGCCCCACTCAAGAGCGGCTTCTGCGTCAAGCAGGGCAACGTGGTGAGTGCTGGGCACAGGCTGGGGCTGCTGCAGGGGTGCTCTGGGTGCAGGACCTCGGCAGAGAGAGGCAGGGCTGAGCACCGAATCTCCTGCTCTTTTCCAGAGGAAGAGCTGGAAGCGGCGGTACTTTGTTCTGGATGAGTTTTCTATCAGCTACTACAAGTGTGAGCAGGTAAGCAGCTCCCCTGGGACGCTGAGCAGGGCTCTGGCACCCTCTGGCTGGCACATGCCAGCCCCAGGGCCAGCCAAGCCCTCCACTGTCTCCTCTTGCCTCTGCAGGACAAGGAGCCTTTGCGTTCGATTCTCTTGAAAGATGTTTGCAAGACCCACGAGTGCCTGGTCAAGTCTGGGTAATGCTCCCACCCATGTTTCCTGCCGTGGCCCCAGGCTGGCTCAGGCCAGAGCAGCCAGTGGGAGCTTGGGCTGCTCCAGCTGCTCGTGGGAAGCAGCTCTGTCTTGAGATGTTTGTCTTAAACTAGCCCAGGCGGCTGCAGTGTCTCGGGAACAGGTTATTGCAGCAAACACTGATAAAATCAAAGTAATGTAAAGGCTTGCAATGAAAAATAACCTAAGAAAACAAACCTCTTCAGCTAAAGTAAAAATATGGTGTATTAATGTATCTCTGAGCTGTTCATTCCTAATAAGTAATAGCAATATGATACTGCTGGGAATGCAGTGGATTATGGTGGTAGAGGGCAGGGGTTTGTTGGCTGATGGTAGAGCTGAGGGGTTTCTGGCTGGAGCTCTCTGGGGATCTGGACTCTTCTGAAAATCCCAATGAGATCCAAGGTTTGCCTTCAATATGTTCCTCCCTGGCACACTCCAGAAATGAAGATAAATAGAGGTTTTTTTTCTGTCCGCCATGGCTGCTCGGGTGTGACTGTCTCTTTCTCACTGTTTCTAGTGACCTCCTGATGCGAGACAACCTCTTTGAAATCATAACGAGCTCCAGAACCTTCTACATCCAGGTGAGCAGCTGAGGCCAGGATAATTTTTGGGGCAGAAAGTTCAGCTCTCGAGAAATGGGCTGTTCCCCACAGCCCTTCGCCAGTGAACATAGGCAGATGGGGCTGTAACACACGAGTGTGAGGGGAAACTGCAGGGGGATTCACTTCTGCCTTGGGATTATTTATAACAGGAGTGGAGCAGGAGAAGGCAGAGCTGAACCTTGGGAATGCCAGGACAGCTCAGCCTCACTGGGGCTGCTGTGTTTGCAGGCAGACAGCCCCGAGGAGATGCACAGCTGGATCCGGGCAATCACAGGGGCAGTGCAGGCCCTGAAAACCCGCCCCAGGGTAGGTCACGTACCTTCTGTTTCATATTTAGTGTCAAGTGGAGATTATGCCAATGTGCAAGATATTTATTTCGTGGATTGTCTAACCAGCCTCGCTCTGCCATGCCCCTGCAGGAGATGTCCTTTATGAGATCCACCTCTGTGGCCAGACCCGGGGGCTCCTCGGGCCCCTCGCAGCCACGGCCGTCGGCGGAGGAGCGGCGAGCCTCGTGCAAGGCGCCCTCCACGAGCTCCTGGCAGCCCTGGACGCCGGTGCCGCAGGCCGAGGGGCAGCGGCCGGCGCTGGGGGGGCTGCCAGCCCCGCTCAGGGACTCGGTGTTCGTGCCAGCGCTCTCGGAGTGCCAGGGCAGGGCCGTGCCCGGCACACGCCTGCGGCACCGCTCCGAGCCGCAGCACCTCAAGGAGAAGCCATTCGCCTTTGACCTGGACGATGAAAGTATCCGGACCTCCGACGTCTGAGCGGCCACCGAGCCACTCCCGGCTCCACACACCGTCTCCCGGGATCCCTGTGGGTGGTCTGGGGTAGGCCAGGTGGTCCCTTCCCTCCACCACAGCCCTTTCCTGCCACGCAGGATCCGTCTGCACCCACACCCTGGTGCCCTGCTCTGCAGGGCGGGGGTCCCTGGCTGCTCCTGCCCAGGCTTGGCCCCAGCGGTTCCCTGTCTTGGAAGCTGCTTCCGGGCACTGCCGGTGCTCGCTGTGCAGGGCAGGAGATGCTGGGGACCTGTATGAGGAGACATCTTCTGCAGTTGCATCATTTCCCCCACAAACCAGGTCTGGAGGAAGTGGCAGGAGGTCTCGAAGGCATGAGGGGGAGTGTGGCCTTTCTTGTGTTTGTAAAATGTTTCTCTCCCCTTTGCTGCTGCTCAGATTCCCCAGGGCAGAGCTGGGAGCTGCCAGCCTGCAGCTGCCCACACAGGGCACTCGCTGCAGTTTCCCCTTATGGTGACTTACTCCTTCAGAGACGGGATCTTCCCACTGCCCACACAAGGGTTTATCAGCAATCTGCTGGCTTTTAATTATGTCTTTTTATACCTGTGGCTCCTGTTGAACCCTAGCCTGGGCAGGTGCTCAACCCCTCCAAAGGCTTTTGGTACTTCCTGAGCATGAGCCAGGGCAGGCAGCTGGAGTGACAGTGGCTCCCAGGTGGGAGCAGCCTCAGTTTGTGATGTTGGTTTTGCACTGCGCACACCTCGGCACAGGTAGCTGTGCCAGATGGTGAAGGGCTTTTAGTAAAAAGCAGTGAATACCAGCCCTGATGGAGCTGGCCAGACTTGTCCGGCCAACTCACTCACTGCCTGCCCAAGATGGAAACCAGCAGGAGTTTCTAGAGCAATGTGAATTGTCATTTCCATAACCAAATGAGCTCCTGTAGGTGTGATAAATAGTGTGTAGAAAATCCAGGTGTTCCCTCAGCAGCGATTGTCCAATATCTTCACCCCGCAAGTGGGTGCAATGCCCGCGTGCCGAGCGAGAACTCGGCTCCCCTTTCACTTCCCTGGCTGTGACACATCCTCTGCTCTGCAAGCTCAGCCCAGTGTGTTCCCCGGGAGCAGAACATCTGGTTTGTCCCAGCCCTTTTGGGGCTTCCAGCTGTTTGACAGCTGTGCCTCAGCCTGAGCCTTGATTGTTCCTTCCTGCCTCAGTCCCCGTGGGAGCTGTGGGGCTGCTGCAGGATGGGCACAGTGCTGGGACCCCCATGCCTCTGGGGGAGACAGGAACAGGCTCCCCTCCCCCAAGTTCAGGGGGAAGAGGGTCTCAAAGGGGATTGTGTGGAGGTGCTGGAGGACACAGAGACCATGAAAATGAGTGGGAATCAATGCAAATGGTACAGGGCGAGTGTTAATATTATTTAATTGTAGCTATCTAGATCCTGCTGTTCCTTTTTCTGCTCTTTTTTGCTTTATTTGCACTAGAGTTTTAAACTTTCATTTTTAGGCTGACTTTGTGTTTGGCTCCTAACACTGTTTCAAGAATGTTTTAGTAGTTTGGTAAGCCCATCCATCAGAGAGTCACAGCGTTGTGATCTTAGTTTTGGAGAGCAGGGGATGCAGAGGGATGATGGTTCTTTGTGCAAAGCCTTGGAACTACAGACTCCTGAGTATTCCTGGTGCTTGATAATTGCAGTTTCCTCAGGCCTGGGAAGGTAAAGCAGAGGCTTGTTGCACAATTAAGGTAATTATCCAGGAGCAGAAACTACCAGTGGCTCCAGCACTATTGCAACATTCCTCTTGCTCGTTCCCACCCTCCCGCATCCCCAGGACAGCACAGAGGCTGAAGGTGAGGTTCAAACAAGCGTGGAGCTCAGCTGGGCTCCAGAGCTGTCCACAACAGGGGTGGTGTTGGGAGGGAGGGATTTCCCTCCCGTTCCAGAGGGCTGGGTGGGTGCAGCCAGACCTTGATGGAGCTTTGTGGTTGTTTTAAAGCAAACTGGTTTCCCCTCAGCTCTGTGTTCGCTCCTGGCTCAGGCGTGGATGGACGCATCCCCCTGGAGCTGCTCCCTCCCGGATCGTGTGCTGTGGGGCTTTGCTGGGGGTGTCTTGTGGGGGCAGAGCGGTGGGAGAGAGGGGTTTGCTGTTCCTGCATGCTTCCAGATGTTTTTGGAAGTCTGGCTGGGGATTCCAAGTGCCCTTAGGGCTGGGGCCCTCGCGGGCAGTGCTCCGTGACTCCCGGGGTGGGGCTGCCTGCCTCCCACCCCTCGCCTGTACATGCTGCAATGCCCTTTATGCCCCATGTTTTTAAATAAAGAAGGAAATCCCGATTACTTTCCCAAGCTGTGACTTTGCACTGTGTTTTGGGTGAGGGTTGCTGGGGGGGTTGAGTTCTGTCCCAACCCGTGTGGGGGTACAGAGTACAGCTGGGGAGAGCCCAGGAGCACCAGTGGCTGCTCCCCGTGCTCACGGTGCTGCTGCCCTGCACAAGGGAGGGAACAGTGCATGGCGAGGGCAGGGACATCACAACTCCTTCTGGATCAAGGTCCCACAAGTTCCCTGGGGAGGAGGAAAGTTGCTGGACCAAGGTCCTGCTGTGAACTGCCAGTGGGGGCTGGAGACTTGGAAGCTGTTAATGATAGTAGTGGGCCTTTTCACATGGGATTGTTTTTTTTTTTTTTCCTTTCTGGGTTGCTGCAGAATTTTTTCCCCTCCATGGACTTTCCAGCCCTGTTGTTCTGCTGAGGAATGGCATTTTCATGACAAAGCTGCCCCTGGCCCCCCAGCTGAAGCTGCCAAACTGGGAGTGTGTGTTTGCTGTTTTATCTCAAATGTGACTGGACATTTGCATACACAGATTTTGTGTCTGGCTCTGGCTGGGACTTGTTGCAGCTTCCTTTTCCCATTTTATTCAGCTTGGTAAGTTTTTAACCTGCAGCTGGTGGGGCTTCCTCTTTCGGGTGTGAGGTTCCTGCACCCTTTGGGTGCTGTAGGTGCCCTGGGCTGGGGCTGGAGCCAGAGGGGTGCCTGGCACACAGACAGGAACCGGCCCATGGCAGCTATGGCCCTTTCCCAGCTCCCTGACTGCTCGCAGATGTCAGGTGGCCCTTGACCCCAAGGTAACCAGGGCTTAGGACTCTGGATTAATGGGCTGGCTGGGGGGGCTCAGGGCTAAACCATGACCCCGTGTGGCTGTGATCTACTAATCCCCAAAGTACGTGGAGTCAGCTTCTTCCAGATTTTATTGTTTGTTTGATTCCCTGTGTTTGCAAGCTCTGATTTCTGAAGCTGTCACTATTTGCAGTGGGATGCCAGATTATTTTAAAGAAGCAAAATAAATCCTAAACAACTTTGCGTCCAAGGCTGGTACAGTCATTATCAAGAGTTAACTGCTGTGCAGCCTGAGTTACAGTTCTGTAAGTCCACACTGAGGGAGGCACAGCCTGGGCTGGTGCTCAGAGCGAGCAGAGGCAGCCAGGGGCTGCAGCTGGGGCCAGCCCTGCCCCTCCTCAGTAAACGGTGCACCAGTTGCTGCCATCACTGGGCATCAGCCCCCCGGTGATCAGCAGAATCAGATCCACAAACCACCAGATGCCCAGGCCCCCCAGGGTCAGCAGCTTCCCCACGGCGGTGCCGGTGTGGCCCAGGCAGAACCGATCTACTCCGAAGCAGCCCAGGAAGAAGGAGTAGAGCAGAGTGGTGATGAAGTAGTGTCCTGTGTACCTGCGAGAGAAGATGCAACGGGGTCAGGGAGCGTCAGCGCTCCCCGCCGGACCAGCCCTGCTTCCGGGGGGCCCGGTCCGGTGGCTGCGGGGGACAGGGGCTCTCCTACTTGACGCAGGGCCGGCTGCCCCGCAGGAAGCTCCGCGGCTCGGCGCACTCGATGCCGTCCAGCGCTCGGCACTGCACTCGCGTGTGATCCACCTCGCCGTGGGCCTGGCCGCCGAACTGCGGCGGGGGCAGCGCTCAGCGCTCGGCGGGGCCCGGGGGGCGCCGGCACCGGGGCCGCCCCCGCCCCTCCCTCACCTTCACGCAGCCGTGGCCCAGCTCCTGCTGTGCCGTGGCGTTCCCGCCGTGATCCACCGGCTCCTCGCACTCCACGAACTCATCGGGGCTGCGGAGAAGGAGCGGCGGGTGAGGACGCCCGGGAGCCCGCGCTCCGTCCCCGCCCCGGCCCGGCGCTCACAGGTAAGTGCACAGGACGAGCGGCGCCCGCGGATCGCTGTAAGCCCAGGCGGCGGCGGGCGGCCCCGGCGGCAGCTCCCGGGGCTCGGTGTCGTTGCCCGGGAGGCCGCGGCCGTGCAGGAGCAGCAGGTTCCCGAGCAGGAGGGCGGCCTGCCCGCACAGCAGCGCGTACCCCACGGGCGGCGCCATGGCGGCACCGCCGCCCCGCTCGGCCTCGGCCGCACGCCGCAGCCAATGGGCGCCCGCCGCCGGCCCGCCCCGCCGCCCGCAGCCAATGGGCGCTCGCCGCTCGCAGCCGGTCAGAGCGAAGCGGAAAAAGCTGCGGAAGCGGCAGCGAGGGGCGTGGCAGAGGGAGTGAGCCCCAGCCGGGCAGATGATTGGCTGCCGGGGAGGGCTGGCGGCCAATGAGCGAAGGCGAGGGCGGGGCGCTGGCTCCGCGCGCGGCGCGCGGGACCGAACCCCGGGGCCCGGCCGGCTCGGAGCGGGCCCGGCGCCTCACCCGAAGAGCGGACCCCCTTAGCTCCGGAGAAGGGCTCTCAGGGGTCTGTGTTGCCGGTAACGGGCAGCGCGGCGGCTCAGAAGCCGCAGCAGCGACTTGATTCCGTCCGAGCTGGCCGTTGTACTGCGCGGCTCTCACCAGTGGCACCCCGGCCTGTGGGAAAGGGAGGCAGACTGGGTTGGGGTGCATTTGTGCTCTTTTCCTTAGTAAATTGACTCCACTTTGTTAGTTGCTCCCAATGTGATGGGATTGTCAGGTGTTTGCTCCTTAATTTTCTGGAGGATGATGCAGAGCTTCGAAGTTGCCCTGGCAGGTTGTCCACGGAGGATTGGTGGAGCAGGGCAGTATGCCTGGCGCTTGTAGCGGAGGGCAAAGTCTGTGATGTTTTCTCATTCAGGGAAGTTTCTTGTGCTCACCTGTACCTGTGGTATTGCCCAGCCAGGCGCTGGCATGGTGTGTTCTCATGTGCTTCCAGCATATTATGAAAAGGTTCTTTCCCTAGAGGC